CTGATTGCGCAGTAGTGCGCGCGGATCCGGCGGCGCTAGGACCGCGCACTTGTCCGTTCTGTTCGTGTGGGTGAAAAAGTTCAGAGAAACGTCGCCTACCTAAAACCTCAAAAACTTCCCAGACAGCCTTTGTCTGTCGGTGTGATCTGGTGGAGAGAATGCTGACAAAATGTGCTTTCCGCGAGGTTTTAACTCTAAATAGGTGGGATTTCATGTAACGTTACCGAACCTCTGAGGACAGTTTGGACCGGGGACGGACAGAGATGAGCGCGAGCACACAGCTGCTGTCCAACGGACCAAGGAGAGAGGTGAGCTTCACTCTGAACGATTCTAAAGCTTCGGTTCCCACGTTTAAAAGTTTTTTTTTTCTAAAACACGGGGTTGTTTTTTTATCGAGACATCGAAGGTCGTTTCATAACTACGAGTTTGACGTTATACGTTTTAACTAGATTAAGTTTAACCAATGTGACAGTTTTGAAACGCCAACAAGGAATAATGCGACTCCGTGTTCTGTTCATTCTGTTCTACTAGTGAAAGAATCGGCTTATAAGAAGTTTAAATGGTTAAATAGTATAGATTTGACCTGTTCTGCTAGCTAGGGGAAAAGAACTTAGGTCCTCCGTTAGTCAGCGCGCTCTTCTTGACATCGTATAGTCCGTTCACATTAGTATGGGACAGTGGGTTAAGTTGTGACACTTTAAGTTGTCCTTTAGGCAAAAAGAAATAAGTAATACAACCAATGTATTTAAGCATATGTGTTACTGAAATAAACACAATAAAAATGACTTGACTTGAGAAAGAAGCATCTGTATAGGGCCCTAGAAATATCACTTCAGTGAACTTGTCCACAGTTTAGGGTAAGTTGAGTCATTGGGGAATACGCGAGAAATTTGCATTTTGAAATGTACAAAAGAAAAACATCTGAATATCTGAACTGTTACACATTGCAAATCACCAGCATAAAATATGTGATGTATATTTAGACCTGAATACATTTGTTTTGACATAAAAGTCATTGGGAAATACTTTTTTTAATGATCTGTTTATGACTATAAACTCAACCTGCCATGTAGAAAATGTTTGTTTTTTTAAAGCATAAAAAGTCTCATGTATGTTACTTAAACACAGATATAATTTTATATGTCTGGCCCTTTCCATATGTTGTTGTACACAGTTTCCTCGATTAAGGGGTGACACATCTTACCCCACTCTCCCCTGTAAGTGTAAGTGCAAATTAATAATTGTTTAATGATGAGCGCCAATCTTTATGCACCATTTTGATCTTTAAAGTAGTTGGTTTTGTTCTGTGCTTTCATAGGGTTTCATTTGAGTCATTGCTGCCATGATTAGTAACTGAGGCTTTTTTTTCTGGTCTACCCGAATGTTACACTGTAACACTGAGAATTCCTGCTCTCTCTGTAACTGTACATGTTAAGTTCGATTTCTGTCATTTCAGTATTGCAGTCCTCCAGCAGAGGGCGGTCATGGGTGGGCTTGTGTATTGAGAGCAGAAGGTCAGGTCAACAATCAGTGTAACATGCTGGACAGATTAAATCATCTGCAAGAAGAACAAGAGGAAGTTTTATTTCTTTGATGAAGAGGGGATGTTGTAATCTAGAATACACGCTGTGTTGAACTCTACTGGATATTGGAGATTAGGTGTTTCGTTTAAAGCAAAGATTATAACAAATACCTCAGTCGATCAAAAAGCTTCCAGCTGAGTGCCTAAATTAAAATGCTCTCAGCTACAAGCCTAAAATCTTATAAGATATTCCAAAGTATAATTTTCACATGTAAGCTAATTCACATTTTGTAATTGTACTTTGTAATTTCCATTAAGAGTGGCTGATTAAAGAATACTTAACAATCGCACTGACAGTTCTTGCATAATGAATCTGCTACGAGCTTCTGTGATTCTGTAACACTGAAGAGGTGTAAAAGTGTAGCATTGCATTCTGGAAAAAAAAAGTCACTTTTAATTGTTCTCTGCAGTGATGATCTTGACAACCTGAAGATTTCCCACTGCTTATATAAATGTTTAACCACTATCTGTTTTCTTTACTACCTTTGTATCTTTGATTTATAACAGGGATGATTACCATATTTATATAACATGGCATTCACATGGTGTGAGATTAACTTTATTGAATACCGTAGTATGTATCATGAAGACATAGTAGTACACGGTCGCCATGATTTTGCCAAGTAAGACATGTTCCTGGATCAACATCTTTTGTTGATCCTGGATCAACATTACTGTCCAAAAATACAGACTTAACCCAATCCCTACCCCTAAACCTAACCTTACCCATAATTTATTCTTAAAATCAAAGGGAAATGATAGCTGATTAACAAGGGTGTAGAAGCACCTAATCCGGATTGTAAGCCTACAATTTACATTTCCTGAAAAGTTATCTCTCAATTCTGATTGGTTGATTGGAATGATGTTCCAGGATCAACAAGGATGTTGATCCAGGAACATGTTGCACTTGGTCAAATCACGCTCACCAGTAGTACACCATGATCCTGACAGGGCTTCAGTTGCACTTTAACAGCTGGTACTTTGTTATATTAGAAGTAGGGAAGCTTATTTCTGCCACAGAATAAAAAAATAAAAAACGATCATTGTGACTTTTTAATCTCACAATTCAGATTTTTTTTCTCACAATTCTGGGTTTGTACATCTCACAATTCAGACTTTTTTTCTAAGAATTGCCAGATATAAAGTCAAAATTAAGCAGAAACAAGCTTCCATAAAGGACAGACATAGAGTGCAATGAAGATAACATAGTGTTTTACAGCAAAATTACAACACTGATCAGCATAAGTTTTCATTATATGGTAAACAGCAGCTTTGACATTTTTAATAATAACTTTAAGAAAAGTCTCAGGTTTTCGAGAGACATGAGGGTGGGTAGATTTTTCACTTTAAGTAAATTATCTGTGGAAGGCGTGACTTCATTAGACTGACCAAAAATTATTATTGATCTACAATAATCGTACTACTTAATTTTCACAGTTGCATTTTCCTCTTGACTCAAAATTCTGCACATGCACCACATGTGATTTGGGTGTGATAAATATATATTGCAAAATTTAAACCATAGTAAAGCACATTCCCCATGAATAAGATTTCCCACTGATTATGTAAATGTTCAACTACTGTGTATTTAGTTTATCAGAATAGTGCATCTGGGATATTATTGGCATTTCCAGGATATACAATGTCAAACAGACCCACAATGCATTATGACTATTGAACATTTTGACTACGCATGTACTGTATGGCACGTGTGCAGAATGACTTGCAATAGTGACGAAGTTGGGCTAGAAACATTTTTCCCATCCATGCAAGAATCTGTTAAGTAAACTCCAGCATAATAAAAGGTCAGAGTAGTCTTATATAATCATAGCTGGGCTTATAAGTCATTTACAGATGTTTGGAACACTTTACAGCTTGAACCTGTAATATGCAAACATTTGGAAACCCAGATGTACTATCACTGATCCTGAAGTCTTGCACTGTACATTTTTATGCATTTGGCAGATGCTTTAAATTACTTATTGCATTCATATTTTATTGGTTCATGCACTCCCTGGGAATTCAACCCTATGCTCTACTGTTTAACCTGCAGAAACGCTATGTTTATGAACGTTCTAATGTTCAAAGTATTTTTGATGCATCAAGGTGAAGGTCAATTGCATGGCCTTGTTTCGTTTTATCAGTTCATAAACATGCCCACTTGGTTCATTGACAGAAGTTAGTTCCTCTAGCATCACTGACAGCTTTAAGAATATATAACACATATTGTCTGTTTATTTTTGAGTGAATTATATAAGTAAACTTTGTGTGAAGTATGTGTTCAGGAAGCAATGTTGTATATGCTTCATTTGCTTCAAATTACAGGTGTTTGCAAAAAAGGCCTAATATTTTCTAATTTGATTATGCTGAATTTAAAAACATTAAAACTTTTTTAATGCACTTATCAAAATAAAGCAGTCAAAATGAATTGTCAAATGTCAAATAACTTTTCAGAAAATCTGTATTTTTCTGTCACTGTTTGCATGTAGTGAAACATACAGATGTAGCAGAAAACATCTGGGTCATGTTTTTCTTGTCACTGGCCATAATTCTAACCTTAAAAACAGGATTATGCACAGAATAATGTCTTAAATCATTCATACATGTGAAAGTGGGCTGAGAATTGAACAAAAAGTTGTAACTCACAGAAAGATAGGCAGCGTGTCTTTGTGGCAATTTTTCAGGTGACTATGAGATAATACAAGACTTCTTTACCTTACAAAGGTAATCATAAATGCATCATATTTTGTAAGAAAGTGTGACATGCTAGAGCAAAACAGTGCTATTTTTGGAATCAGCTCTAAAAGCTTTGTGAGAAACAAGCATTGGATTTCATTTCATTAATGCAGGATGGTGTTATAGCTACATTTATGGGTCACCCTGCTGTCCAGATATCAGCATCAGTATTAGTTGAGTCAATCACTAGTCTTGTTTATGCATTTTTGCACGCTATTGAATATGAATACAGTCATGGATATAAGTGTCTTTCTCGTTTAAACTCCACACACAGACAAAGATGAATTCACCATTATTCCAGAATGAATTAATAGGCAGACAGAGTGTGTGTGTGTGTGTGTGTCGTGTACCTGTTTTTCTATTCTGGTGGGGACTTAAACCTGAATACACACAGACTCATGTCACGGTGGGGACCTAAATTGAGGTCCCCACGGGTAAACAAGCTAATAAATCACACAGAATGAAGTTTTTTGAAAATCTAAAAATGCAAAGTTTTCTGTGAGGGGTAGGTTTAGGTGTAGGGTTGGTGTAGGGTACTAGAAAATATGGTTTGTACAGTAGAAAAACCATTACTCCTATGGAGAGTCCCCAACAAGGATAGCAAACCAGACGTGTGTGTGTGTGTGTTTTCATGGGAAGAGGGAGTCACTGATGTGCGTGTCTGTCACTGATGACGCTCCTGTGTCTTAAAGGACCATGAGTGTAAGTTTGAGGCATATTCTCACAGTCTGATGCTTTGCGTCTGTTATTTAAGAGCTCCGCCGTCGTGATGAACATACAGATGATCAATACCGTGAGAAAATGGATCGCATCGTGCAGCTTGAACCTTTAGTATCATACGCCGAGGTGAAATTAGGGTGTAATTCGTCCAAAATGTGACATGGCACAAACTCAGCGGGCTCACGGTTGGACAGACGAGGTGTCATCGATCTGATCTGATATCATCACTGATAAATAACGCGGCGAGATGGATCTCCTCTCTGTTTCTCCTTGACGCGCGCTGGAGGGAGGCAGGCGGAACTGAGCAGCGCGACCACCGGCCAATGTACCGGGGGAACAGCGGCCCGGGAGCGGCGGCGGTCTTGAGATCCGTTCCTCCGGGTTTTACGCAGCGAGGCGCGGGGAACGATGGGCTGCGCTCCCAGCATCCACGTCTCGCAGAGCGGGGTGATCTACTGCCGCGACTCAGATGAGTCCAACTCGCCGCACCAGACCACCACCATCTCGCAGGGCACGGCGACCACGCTGCACGGCCTCTTCATCAAGACCGACGCGGCGGACACCATCCCCTCCGTGATCGCCTACCAGAGCAGGCACACACGGACCAACTCCCTCCGGGAGCGGAGAGAGAACAGCTGCGGACACATGTGCACGGAGGCCGAGACTCAGACCAGCAGCACCAGCGTCAAGGTATGAGGAATGAATGAATGGCAAGATGGTGGGAATCGGTTTTTTGCTCTTTATCTCACATTATTTCCACCATCTTGTCATTCATTCAGTGTTTCAGTGTCATTCCTGCATGTGTGTTGTTGTGAATCATCAGCTGGATGCTTATTGCTGCCATATGCTTATTGTTTACTATTAATGATGTCTAGTTTGACATCTTTAATATGTTATTTTGTCATTCATATGCTAGGTTAAGTGAATGAGTTTTGTTCATTCAGAAATTTAAAACAGGTGGGAGCCCAGTAAAGGACAATGTCTATTATTTACATTTACAAAGATGTTTTAACAGTATAAAACCCAAAGCATTTACATGAACTATTTTAATGGAATCAACATCAAATAGGTGTGCAAAATATTGCAATTCCTGTAGCTCAAATAGGAAAGCATGGCGCTAACAACATGGGTTCGATTCCCAGGAAATGTGAGAACTGCTTAAATCTATACATTGAATGCGATGTAAGTTTCTTTGCCAAATGTAAATAAAATGTTCTGCTTGGTTTTTAATTAGTTAGCTAGTCTCTCAACAGCTGTCAGAGCAAATTTTGATGTTTTAGATTAATAATAGTATCACTATGATGCGCGCTGAGGCACTAAACCCTTCACTGGACAGTTACTGCATATTATGAAATAAATCAAACGTTAAATAACAGATAAAAAATTAGAAAATAAATATGTGGGGCACTTTTGCCCCACACCCTGGTTAGTTTCTGGGAGGTGATGTATGGGAACATAGTTTGTATGCACCATCTTGATGGTCCACATAGCAGTAGTGCTCAACTGGTGGGTCGTGACCCAAAAATGGGCCTCGGGTTTGTTTTGATATGTTTTATATATATATATATATATATATATATTGATGCATTTGGGAGATGCTTTATTCCAAGCTTAGCGACTTAAATACATTTAAGGTACATTTGATCAACTCATGTATTTTCTGGGAATTGAACCCATGATGTTGGTGTTGCTAGCACCATACTCTACTGTTTAAGCCAAAGAAATGCATATGCTCAGGGCTAGCAGAGAACCAACAGTGTCATATAGCATAAGGAGAAAACCCCATCCCATATATTTTTGTTTTTTGACATCAAGGCAGTGCATCCAATCAAACACTGCATGCAGCAAAAACAAACTGCAGGTCAAACAGCTATGGCTATTTTTTAAATGTCAAATAATGTTAATTTTTATATGATTTTATTTACACCTTTTATGCAACTTTATACACCTTTCATATTTATAAAATCATCTTTATCCGATATTATAATGCATGTAATTTCTGCACTGCAAAACTCCCTCTCTGATATCAGTTTTTGTATGTAGTAGATTTATTTTAATGCAGGTGGGGGTTGGATAGTGGTCTTTGTGTTAAACGAGTCAAATCAAGTAGGAATTAAATTAGTACTGCTGTCAGATAGCAGGTTGGGTTCACCATACAGGGCTCATGCTGTCTAATACTAATACTTTAGCATAATGTTTTGTCTATTTTAAGTTTTCACGTTTGATTTTAAGGAGATTCTTGTTGACATTTTACACAATCAAATTTTTTGTTACAGATTTGGGTTGCCATTGTGTAATTAAAGTCAAATCTAGGTTATGATGCAAAACCAATTGAAAACTACTGACTTAAACTGTACAAGTGGGCCCAAAAGGCATTTGGACACTTGGACTGCTCATAAAAATCTTTGAATGTCATTGCGTTTTGAGCCACTGTATCTGTTTTGGTGTCTTCTATTAAGGTGTGTAAATTTACAGTGTTGTTAAAGGTGAAATCTCAAAACTCTGCTATGTAGAAATGAAAATGCCATAATAAATATTTCTAATACATTTCATTTTCACTTCAGTGACTGTTTAAGTTTACCCTTACTAAAAAATGAAAGAGAAAAATGCTTTTTGAACATCCCTGTGTTCTTCCCGAACCATGATGACTTTTTGTAAGGCTGGACGTTTCAGACTGCTTTAGACTGCTTGAATATAGCATTGAGATTTATTGTTGAAAAATGTATCTTTTTTTGTCTCTTTCTGGGGACGATATCTTTCTGTTACAGTTTGCTTACATTCTGCAAATGATGTTGGAAGGCTGTTGACCTGAACGCCGTAATTCCTGCAATGTTTAGAATGGATATCGGCCTTATTTGAGTTAAAGTGTTTACAGTCAGATCGCGTGTAGAATTCAGATTAGAAATTTTCTTACACCGCAGGTGAGCACACTCTCTTAGACCTGTAATAAACACACACTTTTTTGTTAGTTTTGTCTAAGAATGATTACATTTCTCTGTCAGAGAATGATAAAATCATGGCTCATTTGGACTGCTTTGGCCGAATCAAACCGATAGGCCGCCGTACACAATGGAATTTGTGTTACGCAACACAAATCAAATACTAATGCCATTTTAAAATCCTACAAGGACCATTTATAGATCTGTGTATGGTATAATATAATGGGTTGTAAAGGGGACTTTGTGTGTGTATGTTGGTCGTCTGTCAGTTTGAAAGGAGACGTAGCGATTTTGGTACAATCTGCCAAGCGTGTGTGTGGTATAGTCAGATGCTTGCGCGGAACTCAATGATGCCATTGAAGTGTGTGTAACTCCACACAGCTCTCTATCACTCACACACATTCTCATTGTATTCACAGCAATGGAGCCGATGTCTGTTTTGAATTGAATGTGAGTCCAATTTGGCTTTCTTTTGTGTGTTTGTGCATCTCTGTGTCTTTGCGAGAGATAGAGGCCTTGTGTTGAAGAAAGACCGATTTTGTGTGTCTTTGTATGCATTTGTGTGTGTTCAGGCCACAGAGTTTGTTTACCCCTCTGGCTGTGAGCTCTGCAGGGTGTGAACTATCACATGCAAAAAGGCTGATGAATCTAAGTCCAGATACACACACACACACATGGATAGAGCGAGGCATTGTGGGAAGAGGTGCCCTGAGACCTGTAGCAGGGCATCAGCGGTCTGGACTGTCATGGGGACACATCACTGTCACAATGTAGCCTAACGTAAAGTACAATCTGATTGGCCACAGCTTCTCTCGGGAGGTCAGGAACATTTCGATAACAGCATGAAATCGCGCCTCACTTATTAGTGCTGTCCTGCAGCATCTGTCCCATGAGTTAGCATCATCTAGTTAGCAGATTTCTTTGCGTTTGCTTTCAGGGGACACATTTGTACCAAAAGAACATGAAGATATCAGTCTATCTCCTTGATGGCTGCTTTTTATTTACCTCAATGGTAGTGATGCAGTGCCGTTATTCTCCAGCATATTTGTAGATGTTTTTCCTCTCTGTTAGAGAGAAATCCTGTGTATTAGTTCAAGCAGTTAGTAAGTATAAGTTTTGGTGTGGTGTTGCATTCTTCAGAAAAAAGGACAAAAGCTGTTAATGAGGCGGCACCTTTTCAAAAGGTACATAAAGGGTTCATATTGGTACCTTAAAGATACATATTAGTATCTAAAAATGTACATTTGAAATGCTTTTAAAAATTTACTGCCCCAGTGACAGCTGTTGTGCCTTTCTTTCTGAGAGCGTGCTTAGTATGTGAGCAATTCAAAAACTCAGGGTTTTAAAGGGGTCATATGATGTTGCTAAAAAGAACATTATTTGGTGTAATGAAATGTGTTTATGTGGTTT